TTTATTAGAACAAACAACACATTTTGTTTTATTTGTGGCATAAGTATGCCAAAAGATTTTTGAACAAAGTCATAATATCACACTCACTATCGAATTAGTGTAGAATACAAACGAAATGATCTCATCACTATATATGAGATAAAAAAATTTCCTCCAGAGAATGAGAATATCACACGCACGCACGCACACACACACATACAAAGTGACACAACAACGATATATGAAGACAACAATTAGAAGAGAAAAAGGGAAAGTGGTTATTAGTGCGCGTGAGCGAGAATGAAGAAGAAAGGAAATAGTAGGAGTACAACACAATTGTGGGTGTCAAGATTGGAAAAACCGGTTTAAATTGTGGATGGATAAGGAAAGCAATTGATTGATTGAGACAGAGAGAGATTACAGAACAGAGACGGCCGTGATTAAACCGGATGGTAGTCGACGACGTTAGATGAGAATAAAAACACTGATAACAATTGGAATGGATGCAAAATAATTACGTATGAACGGAAGATAGGCGAGATGAGACAGTATTCTCGTATGAATGAGATAAATTATTATTATTATAGATGTCACAAAGTGTATGTGTGTATATATATGAGAGAATGAATATTAATATTACCCATGATTAATATTTGTATTTTTTGTTTTAAATAAAAGAAAATTATGATTGACAATTAAAAAGCTGTTATAATTATTCATCTTCTAGATTCCTTGTAACTTTACTAAAGTCAAATGGATGACCAGTGATTCTTTCATACATTTCTAATACATCTGTGCATGTACTTTCAAAATGCGTTGATGCATCATAACTCTTTGAAATATATATCTAGAGGAGAGAAATACAATTAGGTGAAATAAGTATGCACTGATATTCAACAATGATAATGATGATCACAACAAAAGAGAACATACAGAAAGTAGGAAATAATTACAAACTATGCTGTGCGTTGCCGTCCACGCGCCTCATGCTGCTCGGGTTTCGATCCCCCGCCGACGCACTCTTACACCGGTAGTAAAAAAGTGGAGAGGTAGTCAGTCTATGATATGACGTCGTGGGTTAGCATCGGTTGGTACATCGCAACTACTTGGTTGGTTCGAAATGTTAACAGATATGGCCAGGAATTGCAATCAATGGACAACATGCTACAATTTACTTATTTCTTCCTTTTCTAACAGTAATACGCCGAATGTTGTCTGCTGTTGTCAAATGTACTTGCCTCCTTTTTGGATGACGTCCTTTATTCATTCTCTCCTACTTTCTTTATATATTGTTGCTTTATTATTATTATTATTATTATTGTGTGGCACATCTCCTTGGTACCTATATTGTACAAAGAATGGATATCCACGGAATTTCATCAAAAGACATATACCCCCAAGCCAACCTATCAAACCAAAAGCCCCCAAGGAAAGCACAAAGAAAATCGCCTTACCATATATAAAGGATATCTCAGAAATCACTACAAGACTCTTCAAACCTTTAGGAATTGACGTCGTACACAAACCAACAAAGTCACTCCACTCAATTCTATGTCAACCAAAAGACTCAACAGCGAAAGAAGATAAAACCAACATCATTTACGAAATAAATTGTATCTACTGCGAAAAACACTATATTGGCCAAAGTGGACGTCCCCTTCGTTTTCGTATCCACGATCATAAGCTAGCCGTCAAAAGATATGACATCCACTCCCTCACATCACTGCATACAGACAACCACGGACATCAATTCGACTGGGACAACGTTTAAATATTAGACAGAGGAAACAACAAGAATGTTAGAGAATTTTTAGAAGCTTGGCATTCCAGTGAATCATCAATCAATAGACACATCGAGATTGACAAAATTTATCAACCGATAAGAAAGAAACCTCATACAAAACAGGGTCAAAGTTCAAGTCAAATAAACAATCATGTCGAAGGTCACCAGGAGAGATGATTAATAAACCCGTGGAGAAATCTAAAAGTTCACTTCAAATTGAAGTATGCGCCGAAGATGTCGCCTAGTAGGGCGATGAAAGCTTCGCAAATTAACTATCCAGCTCAGAGAACACAACCACATCAAAATCATCCACCTGAGCTACAAATCTTCTCTATCATATCTATATTGTACAAGGTTCTATGTTTTACATTAATGAATAATAAAGCCAGTAGTAAGCCAGATAACGAGGGAAGGTTGAACATGAGGCTAGCAATCCTACCTCGTAAAAATAAAACCACACTGCTACTGAACCTTCAAAGCTCAAACTAGAAGCCCATGTTCCATTGGGAACGTAAGGGAATAAAATAATGCTGTAAACTACCATAAGTTATATATAAGTTTAGTAACAAATGCGTACAGATTCATCTTCAATAACAAACTGGATCATTACTTCACAGTGCACAAACTCTTCATGAATATGATCACATATATGTACTGGATCAACCATTGTTAATTCAGTCTTTAAGAAACAGTCTACAAAATGTAACTTTTGTACTACACATTGGTCTATTATTGAATTTGGAGGAATAAATGAACTCTGTTTTACAAGCGACAGTGACACAACCTGCCTGTTTAAAACCTGACAGAGTGTACACTATGACATTGTGACCTAGTGGTAAAGAAGTCGATCACATAATCTGATTAACCAAAATTTAGAACTCTAACAAAGACTCCAGGATAAGGATAATTCCAGTGAAATTAAAGTATTATAGCCAAAGTCAAGGTCCTTATAAAGTAGACCTGCAAGGACCGATCAGACACAGGGAATGCTATGAAATGTCACTCCAAATCAAATCATGCCTGCCTTTTTGAACTTGGAGAGGATAGATACAATATTCTACTTATTTACTACGTACTTTCTCTGCAGATCTACACTGTCAGGTAGTGTTATGGCATTTAAGATTGAGGCAGAGGATCTAGGGTTAAAGTTAGGAGTATGTTGAAGAATAGTATCAGAAATATCAATGGATCTCAAAGTATCGTGACCTACAGTCACTTGGATGAATGGATATATAGCGCATCGAACAGTTTGTCCATAGATCATCTGTGTAGTGACTGGAAGACATTCTTACAACACATAAGCTACAAATATACGGTGTAATATCATGTTAGCAATATGTTTTGGTGTATTTTTCAATGTTTATGCGACTTTTTTGCATCTGAATTCTGTTTGGTTGCTCAAGGTCACTGTGGTTTTGACTGTTAGTTCAACTTTGCCATAATTCCCAACTTTATAGTAGAACCTTGTTACTATAACAAGTATTCTACTAAACTACCATTCAATGCATATTGAACATTATCCACATTAATGACTTCCTTCTAAAATAATTTTATTCAAAAGACCAAACAAGTTCTTCAACACCAGCGGAAACCTGTTTTATCTAATGATGTATTCCAGAAGAAAACTCAGCTTAAAAACCCTAGATGGAAGAACGGCACTCATTCAGGTTGACACCTCCTGGATCAGCACACCCAAATTAGTTTTTTTATTGTTTTTATTTTGATTACAGCTTGATGCCACACCATATTTTCAGTACGAGTATGGCATTTTCAGCATGGATATCGGTAGCCCAAATTTCGCAGGCCGACCATAGATATCGGGTGTGCGTCGGCAGGGGATCGAACCCTGGACCATGTGCATGGTCGGCAAGAGTCCTAACCACTGTGCCACCAACGCGCAAATGGGACCATATAAAGAAATAATCCTGTAGTGAACAAGTGTGTGAGAAGAAAGACAATTAAAAGGTGTATAGAAGGTCTGAGATGCTTTATTACCCTATTTGAACCAGCGTTAAACATAAAAATTTGACGTCTAAAGCGGGTTGAAATTAAAGAAGTTCGGGGAATGAATCCCTACGATCCCAGGAATGAATCTGCTGCAGGCGATCGGACAGCATTTGTACAAATCATAATATAACAAACTACAATGAAGACTCAAAAACGCATACGTGATAACAAATACCTTTGTCTCTCAGTACCTTGTTCTGTGTCACCTAGTGAAAGTACTTATTTGCTTGAGATGACTTTTGCTTACAACAGGATGTTAGAGAGAAAAGAACAAGAAGTATAATAAAGATATCTTTTAAGCAATTTCATCCACCAAAGCAACTGTACAATTGCATTTATATACATAAGTTTACATAGATACAATTATTACGTAACTCCACATAAAATCGAAGGAGATTAAAGATGTGAGTATAGATTACAAGGGGCTTTTGAGGATGAAATAGCCGAGAAGATATCTTTACTGTACTTTTTGTTCTTTTCCCTTTACTGCAGAATGGTCATGTGTGCTACGAATTTATACTGACTATCCAATTTACATAGCCATTTTCGTTCTGATCAGTATAAGTTTCCAGTAAACAGGAAGAATTATGCGACATATCGAAGGAACTTTACACATTCTGATACAGACAAAACGAGAATTCTTATTTGATAACTATGCACATAAATTAGTCCAGATATAATTAATGTAGAAGTCTGTTACAGATGACAAAAGGAGCTAATACTATAACAACTAGAATTAGACAGTGAACTAAAGCTAGTTATGTAAAATCATAAGAGTGGAGGGGACATGAGATAACGTTTGAATTAGACATAGCAAGCTGGGACCTGTATTGTTTAGTAGGTTACGGCACAATTGACAATAGTACTTGTATTTAGCGAATGCAAAATTCTGTATTTTTGTGACCAGTGGCGTACAGCAGGTGGGGTGTGAGGACAAACACTCACCAGCGATGACATTGGCCAGTGGTCACGCGGATAAGCAGAAGTTGGAATTTGGGGGATGGCCATTGGATTGGGCCCTAGTGGCTTAATGGTCTACGATCTCGCTTTGTAACCGGGAGGTCTTGGGTTCCAACCCTGGCGACGGGTGCATACTGTTGAGGAGTCCCAAACAAGAACGAGACAGGTATCCATTACTCCCAGGTTTTCAAATGGTTCTCTAACTGATGTCAGCTCATGATGAAATCTCGTAACCAATCTAATCCATGAAAACCAACATTTGAAAACTTACATTGCTTGATTTACCATCGTCGATAGGTTCATATAAATCTGCTACTGAATAAAATATATGCTCAATACGTCCAAGTAACTGTAGTCCAGGTTGAAGTTCTTGATGTGGATTTGATGTTTCTACAGTCGTTGCCACAAGAACAATAAAGAATTTCTCCGGACAAACGTAATGTGGATGTGAAACACAAGATACGTATATATCTACAATTAAGATGTGTATATAAAGAGCAGTCTATTTTAACATACCATGACGTCGACCAACTTGATTTTGAGGAATGATTATTTGTGACGAAAGAGCATTTTTTACATTTGGAATGGGATGATTCAAAATGCATATAGCACGAACAACCTGGAAACGAAAAAAAGTGATATTAGTTTCCAAACTAAACGATTGTAAGACTACACACGCACCACAGTTGTTTAGACATACTGATCCGGAAAAATAAGGCAATAAAGCTTTCCACTTTTCAATGCATTGACAGATAATACCAGCCCCATAGTTTTTTCTGTTAGTAAGTAGATCCATCCAACCAACAACAAGTACCAATTACTATCAACGGAATAAATTTAGAAGACGTCACTCCCTTCCCATATCTAGGCAACAGCCTCGTTACAACTACAGGCGGACGGCACGGATGAAGACGTCAAAACCAGAATCGGAAGGGCAAAGTAGACCTACATTGATCTGAAATCAGTTTGGAAATCTACTGCACTAAAGCATGAAGAACAAAATTCCGATTTTTCACACCTATGTTAAGTCAGTCATCTCTTCGATATGGATCAGAAACTTGGCGTGTGTGTTGCCAGAACCATCTCTAACAGACTACTGCAGACTTTTATCAACAGCTGCCACCTTTGCTGGCTCCATGTTGAAGATCAAATGGCGGGACAGAAAGAGTTAGCAACAAGAAACTCTAAGAGCGAACCAACCGAAAACCTACTGCTCAACACACCGAGGAGACCGTTAGGTGACATCGTGTACGAAGCATTACCTCGAGTGGAACGCAAATGGGAAACGACGAGTTGGGTGTAGGTTTGAGGGTAACATGGAAGAGATAGCGTAGGGGGAGACAAGAGTCTATGGGCAATTGTGAGGTCAGCTGAAGAGGACAGCAGGGAACAGGACAAAGCGGAGATGTGTTGTTGAAGCCCTATGCTCCACGCGGAATAATAACAATAATAGCAATAATAGCTAGATCCTTCAATGCAAAATCATGGAAAACAGTCCATTTGAAAACATGACTGGATATTTAACTTTGTACACCATCAGTAGCACTGACAATCGTGGTGTTCGAAAACTAATACATCCATATTTAGCTAACAGGCTTCAAACTGGTGAAAAGGGACACACCTGAATTTTAAGACTACTAATCAAGGCATACTTCCAAGTAACGTGTGCTTTATCCAGTGAAACAAGACTGTAAATGTAGACAAGTAAACACGAGGAAGTCACATGAACTACACATTTGTCTAATTAGACTAACTTCAAATTCATAGACACAACACAAGTAGACCTAAGTAGGTCACACAAAGACTTTTAATGAAAATCGCTTTTTGACTACCTTACTTTGATTGACAGTGCATTAAGAAGCCTTATTATACCAATCTTCATTACTGATTGAAGCAAATCACAAAATTACTGATAACTTAGAGATAGAATCTTTAGGTATGTGTTACAACGAATAGAATTGCCTCGCCATGATGAACTTTTGGACTTCATAATTGTTATTTAACTTGTCACATGTTATTTTCAAAGCAGAAGTTAATTAATTCTGATTGACATAGACAAATCATTGTGAAATTTTGCGCGTATGCACAATAATTAAGGTTGCCAAATTCAGAGACACAAAAATACAACACACTTGAGAAGAGATTCAGTAAAAAAGGCACGAGAGTGAAGAGACAATAATTTAATGAAAATTAGTGGAATATGTACGACATTTCGATTTTGATTCATGTAACTGGGGGTTACGGGCTATTGATTTTTAACTACTTGGGGATCCTAATTCTCTTCACATGCCTCGAAATGACCGGTATACAAATCATGAATCAGTGCAGCGATTCTGTTTCATTATCCTGAACTTTTACTCAAACTAATTAAGTGATAGAATGCTCACCAACCACGTCCCTACTGATCCAAGGTTCGATTCATGACCAAGGCACTCCTAAACCTTGATTAACCGGGAAGGTTGGGCGGGAGGCTAACAACCCCACCCCGTTAGAAAAACACCACTGCTTCTGAAACTCCAAAGCTCGAGCTTGAAGCCCTGTGTTCAACTCGAAACGCATAGATGTAGAGACGATCGTTTAAGAGACTTCACATTAGATTGTACCTAGTAGTGATAATATTAGATAAAATTAAGCGGTGAACATGGTTTCGCGTTGAAAGACACCTGTGTTTTACAGATAAAATTTCCTGTCTATTAGGTGCATACCTCGTTCTAACATTAAACAGCTTGGTCACCGCTTCCACAGGAATTTGAAGTGCCAGATATGCAGCATTTATGTGAATACCGTTTGATTCTTTGGTAGTAAAGACAGTTCTCACAGAACGATTGGTTGGTGTTTACGCTGCAATCACAGTCGGTCTATTGGAAAAGTACTTAGGTAGACTGAATGTTTATTACACTACGCTTTTATTTAGCACACTACTTTAAGTCTTCTGCTCAGTTATTCTCGTATAACTTATTACTCGATCCGGAAGGCATTAACAATGCAAGGGGAAAACAGTATTAAGAAACAGCATTATGGGAGATCCTACTAAATGAGTTCCCTTTGAATGAGGTATTGAATATAATTTAGTATATGTAACCACCGCACTAAAGAAGTTGTGGTCATATATTGAGTTAACAATGCCATCACTATTAAGGCGAATATGTATATATACTATTAGTTGATGTAACATTTACTGTTTTATTACAGAATAAAAACAGACACCTAAGATGTAGCGAGAAGGAGTAAATTACTGGAACAAATAAAAAATTTGCAAACTGACCTGACCACATTTTCGAACACGATCTGGTGCATAGCTAGGATCACATATTACTTTGTCACAACGTGCGACCTCACCTTCAGATTTTACGCCAACAACTTTGCCATTTTCCATCACAATTTCGTCTACTGGTTTGTTTAACATATATGTACCTCCATACACTGCGCTCAGTCGAGCGAATGATTGAGGCAGTTCTCCCAAACCATATAGAGGATAAAGGTATGGAGACTTTCCAAATCGGTTGACTGAGTGATTGTACAACTGCATTTTGGTAATAACCTCTATGGCCGGTGCTTTCTGTTTATACGAATCGTCTGTATACAAGCAAACGGCATGACCGACGAAATTCTAAACATTTAAAAATAAAGTTAATATATATACGTAGTTGCACGCGACTGTTACATTATGCATAGTTATATAAATGTAAAAACCACAAGGAAAGTAAAGCAATAATGAAATTAGAAACACATATAAAAGATGGGAAGAAACCGTTTATGTCCCGAACTGGTAGTAGTGACTGAAAAACTGACATGGGAATTGGGACAAACATGAATTAGCTTATGCTGCTACACACCGCAAAAGTAAACATAAAAGATAACAGAAATAACACTACAACACACAAAAATGTTATATTCGAAACTTTGAAAGTAATATAGGTTGCATACATCTGTGCCATTCTGAACGATACAAAACCGCGTACACAACGTTCCCAAATAATAATCCTTAGCATCCCAATGTTCCAAGTCAGTCTACAACTTTATGGACTGATATATTTTTGATCTGACCATCCGTAAATCTTTCCTAAACTAATCCTATTTTAATATCAGTAAAAAGTTTGAGCATTGTGGATTAGATCAAATAAAGTATAATTATATTTTAATAGTTTACACACAATGATAAGTTTTGTTATTGGTAATTTTGCTCGAAATATTACCAATAACAAAACTTATCATTGTGTGTAAACTATTAAAATATAATTATACTTTATTTAATCCTACTTTAGCTAACATATTTCCTTTCAGAAAGGCGGTGGCGTGGTGTGCATAACATCCTAAATATCTCAGATGATGAAACCGAAAGTTGGTAAGAACCACTGGATTTCTGCCACCTCATCCGAACTGATTGACGCAAGAAGACTGATTCCGGCAGGCTCCCGACTATGGTGAGGAGCGAAAGCTACTCATACGCAAACTAACAAGAAACCTTCGTAACAACCGTGAACAGTGGTCGGCGACAAAAGCGAATGAGATGGAAAAGGCATCGGCGATTGGTAACACCAGACAACTATTTAGGCTTATCAGGGAAACAAGTGGTAAAAGGTAAATGATAAGTGAAACAATCTCTGAGAAAAATGGCATCATAGTTACCTCCCAGGATAGACGACTGGGACGTTGGAAAGAAAACTTTGAGGAGCAACTCCATTGGCATACAGCCACGCTCCACTTACGGAGCATTCAACATCAACACAGGTCCTCCGTCCCTAAATGAGGTTACAAAAGCTGTCGCTAGTCTGATCCGATGGAATGACTCCAGAGTTGTTTAAGGACGGCGGAGAAAGTTCATTGTCTGCGTTAACTGAGGTATCAGGCATAGTCTGGAAATCAGAGGAAGTCCCATCGGGTTGGTGTAAGTCATTGATTATCCCGTTATGCAAGAAGGGAGACAAGTCTTCCTGTGATAATCATAGGGGGATTAGCTTGACTAATGTGGTATCTAAAGTTCTAGACTCAATAATAATGCGTACACTAGGCGGTTCTCGGAAGGAACAAACACCAGAAGATCAGGCAGGCTTTAGACCATATCATATCATCACCCTCCGACAAATTCTCGAACATAAGCATACTTACCGGCCTCCAACAATCGTCATATTTCTTAACCTAGAGGCGTCATTCGATTCCGTCAACCGAAAGGTACTATGTCGATGTTCGGCTGTGAAGGGAATGCCGAGAAAATGCATTGCAATGATCAAGGCGCTCTACTCGAACTCATGCAGCCGGGTAAGAGCTTACGGTGAGCTGTCATCTGAAATAGTGACAACTAGTGGTGTCCGTCAGGGATGTCCACTGCCCCCACTTCTATTTAATTTCATCAAAAATTTATTGGTGGAATTAACCCTAACTGACTTCAGCTACTCAGGGATTAACTTGCTATCAGGGAATAATCTCGTTGACTTTGAATATGCAGATGACATAGTCCTTCTAGGTGAGGACGCTGACAAAATGCAGTCTTCTGAACACATTGAGCTGCAATCTGAGAATGTTTAGCATGCGATTCACTCCCGTCAAATGTAAGATGATGCTATAGGACTGGACTACACTGATCCATAGCTTAGAAATAAGGAGTGAGGTGGTAAAGAGCGTTGACCACTTCACCTATTTGGGAAGTTGGATAGTTGTAACTTCCCTTCCTTTTGAGATCAGTCTTGCTGTCATTGTCCTGGAGGAATTCAGTCTCCACTTCATTTGAGCTTTGCCTGCTGTTGGTGACATCGTGACGTCCGCTCCCTCAGTATGCACAAACGGATTGATTGCTGACGAAATCTCAGCACGGATACAAAAGGCTCGTTTCGCATATGCCAGTTTATGCCGTCTCAGGCGTAGACGTGATATCCGGCTGGCTGTCAACCAAAGGGCGTGTGTACCACTCAGCAGTCCGCTCTGTCCTCCTCATGGCCATGAGACCTGGCCATTGAAAGTGGAAGACATGAAAAGGCCAGTTAACTGCCTTTGATCATATGTATCTGCGTTCTATCTCCCGTCTTAGGTGGTATAATAGGGTGAGCAATATTGAGTTTAGGCTTCGGTCGAGTGCTAGGTAAGGAGGAGAAATCAATAAACGAGGTTGTGAAGCAGCCGAATCGATTGAGATGGTTAGGATGTGTTACGTGTGCCTAGCCATCGATCGCCTTCCTCGACGGGCAATGTTGGTTGTCATAGGATCAGGTTGGAAAAGAGCCAGTGGTGGTCAAACCAAAACACGGCATCAGTCAATGAAATCCACAACAGTTAGTTTAACCCAGCCACTTAGGGAGGTGTAGACTTCCTGGTTGGGGTCCTAGGGATGATAAAAACCAATGGATGGAGACAATTGGTGATATGGCTCAAAATCGTTGTCAATGGAGCAGATGCATCCACTCCTTGTGACTTATAATATCTAATAAAACTAAATGGTTCCTCCATATTACTATTCTTTTTGTCTCATATTTCTGTTTATCACTCTCTTTTGTATCTCTCTTTACTCTCTTGTCTTGTTTTGTGTGCTAGAAGGAGGGAGTGTGGCAACTTGAACTGCTGCACATCGGTGCAAAGTTCTACGTTGAAGCCAGTCAGTCAGTCAGATGGTGAAGACTTAGAGCTTCATCGACTGACTTACCTTCTGCACTTATCACTCTACCTGTAGTGTTAATATTACTCAAAATTTTGATGGGTCGAACTTGAACAAGAGAAGAAAATGACGATAAAAAACATTATCTCACGATTTTTAAACTACTATGTCTCACAACAATGAAGTAGGACAGGGTAGACCATTGAGTGTGCAAAACCTTTCTCAGCAGATATTTCTCCAGCATCAAAAATGACGCAAGTTAGCAAATGCCAAATAAGCGTTTCATATTCGCAGTGAAGTTTTATCAGTAGTCGGTTTATTGGTCAAACTAAGTATTGACTATAATCGATCACTTTACTCTCTATCCGGCGCAAATCACATCTAAGGGGACACTTTACATTAAATAGAAACCTAATATATGGCCAATTCATAGATTTTTGTTCCACTTAACCAGAAGACAGCATTTTGTCAGTGTCTACGCTTAACAATACTACATTGTTTATGTATCCATCTCCTTTCCTGACAGCAAGCCAGCTCCTGAGTTAATGATATCAGCCGTTTTCATGATGAAACTGGATAAAATAGTAACACTGCACGTTCCTAACACAAATGAGGAAGCACCTACCACATACGGTAACTCTAAGCATATACGTGCCTGCCTAAATACAAGCAAAATACTTTGGTTTGAATAAAACTCTCAGAGATGTCTTCAATACCGGCCATAAAAATAACACCTTCCAATCAACAAAATTAAGTGAAGCTTCCAAGCCAAGAAGTATGACATTTGATGTTTCTTCTAGGACCCTCCGAAGGACAAACACTAGACCATCTTATACTAGTTGGCGACCTGTATCTAGCAGTGTTTTTGGTCTTGTTCTTGAGCTTAACTTATTCAAAAATGAATATAAACATTAAGGCTTTAGACACAGTTAAGCCCGTTCCCTGTCGTTATTACAAGAGCTGTTCTCTTTCCTATAAACTTGGATGCCAAGTGACCTACACCAGGTGGAATTATTATAGACTTCCAAATATTAGTCAGCATCCCAGATAATGTAGTTAAACATTTCTTACTGGTGCACTAAAAAACTTCTAGTCTCATTAAGGTTGCGTCGACAACTTGCAAATATCTGGGTTGCTCCCCAAAGACCTCTGCTCAACGGTGCAGCAGCCTAGTAAGTTACTAGAATACAATTCTTAAGGGAGTTCACCTTCTTGCAGTTAAACAATACTGACCTGAACGAATACTGTGCAAATAATATCATGGGCACTAAAGATATTGCAGAAGCAGAATTTTAAACCTAACATGCGCTTAATGACAAAAGATAGAACTAAGGGTTAGAGGGATTTCCTGCAGGACGGCATTCGTAACACCAGCTGACTAGTTACAACCAACACGAATCTCTTGCTTTATGACTAAATTCTGCATATCTGCTGAGCTAGTTTTACTGCATAATTTGTTAACTCGACACGTGATCAACGCAATATGGTTAGCCAATGCTGACGACGCTCATAGCTATACCTTCAGTATCAAGTTTTTCCACACTACTAATGCCTTTTGCCTGTCATCTAGGGTCTCATGAATGACTTTGACATCACGTCTATTCCTCTGATCTTCATCCCGACTGGATTTAGTTCTTCTGAAAATCGTTAATTTTGCATACTGCAGTTAAGAAGATTCCTTTTCACACCAAATAAACTGAATGTACTTCAAGCAAAAGATTAGTCTCATGATATTTTCACAGAAGTTTTATCAAACCTCCAACAACTGTCCTTAAATCAGGAGTGACTTATGTAAATAACTTTATATATAAACACGTTAAGTGAAAACTAGACGGAAATAAAACTGACCTTGGTTGTTTCATCAACACCAAAATGTTGAAAAGCCACTTCGATTGAATCTCTCATGACACTTTTAGGGTGAGGATAAACATTACTCCAAGTCGAGGGATTTTGGGGGTCAACGTCTACTACCCATTGCAGGAGATTTCTCAATCTTCTCTTTTCAAACAACGAAACCAAACCTGATGTAATTACTTTTAAGAAAATAACGCACTTGTAGTGAGCGCTTCACTTGCATTGCTGGGAACTTTGTGTATTGCCTTCTTATCATAAACGTAGCTTTCTTCAATACTTTTGAATTCCAGATACTTAGTGACACCGGTATGAACAAGCAATTTCACTAGCTTTCCTACAAAGTATACATTAAGTAGAAGGATTACTGACCATCAGCCATCAGGAACTTCGGGATAAGATCCACATTCCAATCTCTTCCACGGCCAAAAGCCTGAAGGTCAGCTTTTACATTGAACTTTTCAAAAAGACCTTCGAGAGGAGTTATGGAAGTAGTCTCAGCACCATAGTAGTTATTCCTGTCCATATGCAAAACCTTCTTCCCCTCAACCGACATCAAACCACTGAGTATACATTCCTGCATAATAAAAGGTATGTACGACTAGATAGTACAGTACCTTAAGACCAGTACCCAAGACAATAATATCGTACTTCTCATCCATTGAATCCTGTTAAAAGCCGCGGCGAACTTATGATGGTGTGTTAGGTCATATATTTACCAGTCATCGTGATTTCAAGGTCGTGGAATTCTACCTAATTGCTTCGTGAATATGTCGTACTGCTTTTTCTTCTGCGCTCTTCCGAAGACGTTACATACGCAGTTAGCTTAGTCAATTTGCTGATTTAGAACTGACTCTTACTAAGACTTTGAATGAAAATGAAGCATGGTAACTTAAGTTACAACAACCATGTAACAACCTAATGCTGACTTTTAAACTTTATAGTAAGGAAAAATAGGAGTCAATTGATGGATAATTGACAGTTACACTGATCTATGTATAAAAGAAGTATTAAGGCGATAATGAAACTATTAGTTGTAAGGTGTTCGGAGCGGACGATAAATATTAAATATCTTTCATACAATTATTCCCCTTGAAAATTTGAACAAGATAAAATAACGTCACTAAATTTTGTTGGTTCTTCTCAGTAGCACACAACCATGAAAAATTCAGTATCAAAATGCTAAATATTCAAGTGCTGCAGTTATCGGTCATAGCGGTTAGGACTCTCGCCGACCATGCACATGGTCCGAGGTTCGATCCCCTGCCGACGCACACCCGATATCTACGGTCGGCCTGCAAAATTTGGGCTACCGATATCACATGCTGAAAATTCCATACTCGTACCAAAAATGCTGTGTGGTTTCAAGCTATAACCAAAATAAAAATAAAATAAAAAAATTAATATTACGTAATTAAGTAGCAGTTTAGGAAGGTATAATGGTAGTTGTTAATTAGGCTCGCTAGTATGTCTGAGATATGCCTTATCAACGCCCATTATTATTCCTTTTGGTTCCCTGTGAAGCGCTGGGCTTCAATTATACAAACCCATTTCCCACTGTTTCTTTGAATCCACTTCCGCTAGCCCCATGACTACCCATCAGCTCTCATCTCCTCACACGATCTTCTCCATGTTACCCTTGGACCGAGCCTAACTCGTCGTTTCCCGTTCAAGTCCCACTCGAGTTGATGCCTCGTTCACGGTGTTACCCAGCGGTCTCCGTCCATCTCCATTTTCTTGGGAATACTTATTGATTAATAGGTTCTTGGTCGGTTCGTTCCCAGGGTTTCTTGTTGCTAATTCTTCCTGGCCCGTTATCTGATCTTCTACATGGCGCCTGCGGTGGCCTTTTGGAAATGCTTTACATGATGCTCTTGTCAAGTTTCGACTGAGAAGGAAGGACCGACCGACTTAAAATTGGGGATATAAATCCGAATCTTGATCCTGATTCTGGGTGCAGATTTCAGATTGGTGAAGGCGTATCTTGACATCTTCATCTGTGTCGTCCCCCTGTATTCGTAATGATGCTTCATAAATAAGTGATGAAAGTAACCTCTGTCAAACCTCTCCCGTTGATTATGATTGGTGCTGGTTGTTGTCATTGTCAGTGTGTTGTTATCTTCATCACCTTTATCCTCTCTATGTTCACCTACAGGCCTGTCTTCGCTGCCCTCCTATTCAGCCAGTATGTTGGTTTCGCTTGCAAGTCTTCCAGCTTTTGTGATATTAAACATAAATCATCGACACGCGAAATCCAAATCTTCTAGAGTCTTTTTATCTGTTCAGAGTCTTTCTGTCTTCCCACTTCCTGTCCACAGGCTGACGCACAGTCCAGGCCACCACAATTAGGAACATCACTGGTGATAATAGTCAGACAGCCGTGTCTTACTCCTGTATTTTACTTCGTAGGCCTCGCCGTTGGGTTTTCCGTCGTGGATCATCTGACACGTGACAGGCACTGTTATATAGCTGTTGAATGAGGTTGATGAAGATTTGGGCACTGCATGCCACAGTGTTGAAGCAGTTCTCAAATTACTTCTCAGTCGACGCTCTGTCGAAGGCTTTTCCGAAGTTGATGAAGTTGACGTAGATGTTTGACTACCATTCTATGCTTTGTTGTGTGATGATATTGCGTAGAGTTGCGACTTTATGAGCACATGATTTGCCTTTCCTGAATCCGTCTTGTTCCGGTTGGCGGAGCTCTGCATCCAGTTCATCTTCTGTCCTCTCCAAGATGATGCGAATCACTACTTTACTTGGCGTGTATGAGAGCATTATTCCACACCGGTTCTTGCAGAGGCATACGTCACCCTTCTTCGGTAGCTTAACGAGGTAGCTTTTCTTCTTAACTTCTTGCAATAATGGCATGAGAACATCTGCCTCAGACTTTGGGTCTGTTTTCGGTGCTTCGGAGTGATTTCCATCTGGCCCTACTGCCTTCCTGGACTTCAGTAGCTTGATCGCATTCAGGATTTCTGGTTTCGGTGGAAGATTGGTGTTCACAGGCAGGCAGTTCTGTGCTTGCTGTTGGTGGTGGTGTTTTTCTGGGTGATTTGCAGGTGATGGTCGATTCAGGAGTCGTTTGGATTGATCAGCCCATTTTTATTTATCTCTCCTCCTTAGTAATTGGATTCCCTCAAACATCTTTTATAGGTTTCACCTGCATTGGTATCTTCCTGGAGAGAGACCTGATTAAATGCTTTGGTGTCCTGAAGTCCATTCGCCTGGGACCTATTCTTCTCCGGTTGCCAGTATGTCACGAAAAAACCTTTTGTGTTTCTGAGCACTCTTCACTGTTTTGTTCAGTGTGATGTGTACTGAACTCAGGTTCACCTTCTATTGTCCATATTTGTATTGATGTGTCCACTATTCCACCATCCCCATCCCCTTTAGTTTCCAGGCGTCCATTGAGGACCATTCCTTGTCTTGCCTCTCCCTTCTTTCGGAGGCGGCTGGGCGCGTTCCCTCAAACGTCACCTTCAGAGAGTTCAGGCGTCCTTCTATACAGTTTTGTTCTGTGATGTTACTTAATGCCCGCGACTTTGCCATGATGGTTGCAGTGAAGGTTTCGTTTAAAGCTCCACCTCTCATTTTCTAAATGTTAAACTTGAACTGCGGTCTATCTGAGGTTGTTTTGAACCTAGAAAGCTTCTGTTATAAAGGCACTGAAGTGGCTTGGATATATATTTTGTCACCGAATGTTTAGTAGTTTTGTTGTTGTCTATCTTGCCTAGAATTAGTCTCCAACAAAGACTTTGTAGCCAAATGATCACTTGTAAATATTCTCCACACTGATTAGACACACAGAAATTATGTTTAACTGAGACAACTGTGACGACAACTTTATTGTTCACAGTACAGGGTAAATTATTTACACGTCAACTCAAATGTAAACCACTAATAATCAGTATCTAGTTGATTACACCGGAAGTAATTTTACAACCCAAACTGATAGTTAGTCCGTCCTAACAGTTCCTTGAACTAGACGTTGATCTGAGCCCACTTCTGTTATTCTCGACTTTGGGTCCAGGATAGTGATTCAACACTTCCCTTAAATTGAGATAAAGTCTGTCTAACTTTTGGTGTGTCCATTTGGCCAAGCCCATTTTGCCTTGTGCATAACCTTGCGTTTGTACACACCACCCAAAATCACCAAATCATTGAATGCGCAGTAGTCTGCGAATAGCTCGAAGTTCTCTAGACCTATGAGGAGTCCCTAATCGTACTGTTCAACTCCGGTCTAGCTATATGTCCCTGCGTTCTATCTCTCGTGTTAGGTTGTATAATAGGGGGAACAATATTGAGTTTAGGCTTCGGTTGAGTGCTAGGTAAGGAGGGGAAATCAATAGACGAGGTTGTGAAGCAGCTGCATCGATAACTATTCTTTTTGTCTCATATTTCTGTTTACTAGCTCTATTTTATATCTCTCTTTGCTTTCTTGTCTTGTCTTGTGTGCTACAAGGAGGGAGTGCGGCAACGTGAACTGCTGCCCACCGGTGCAAATTTCTACGTTGAAATCAGTTACTCACTGATGCTCTTTGTAGTCATCGGGGTGCCTTCAGTGGATTACTGAACTGTCAGTGGACAATTTCCGTAGTCTAAATCTGTCTCACCTGCTGTCGCAGGTTCTTAACATTTCCTGCCCCATCTCAGGAATTTTCAACGTCTTAATGTTTATTTTCGCTCTCATCTGTTGAAGAATACACCGACTGTCTTCTTGAAGACTTCACCAAACCACTCGATTCCAGGGGAAAATAAGTTTTTGATGGTTTAGATGTTCATTGAATTTACTGTAGCAGTTTCACTGATATTCCGGGCTAGGTTATCTTGCCCCACACCCAACTTCCACTTTTTTTCCGGGGCTTGGGACTGGCTAAGAAACTAGTGGACTAGTGAACTAGGGGAGATAACGCTTGTGTAACGATAAAGTACTTCATCTGAAAATCTGCAAACCTCATGTTTTCGGTTGAAGTGAAAGCGGTATAAAGCCCTTCAGTTTGACCATTTATTTATGTACGTAATACTTTATTTGCATCTATCACATCCATTCAACTTTATGTTTTCTAACTCACTAATTCTGATAGTAGCAATAATATGTACCCCCATGTATCTGTGCATAGTGGACCTCATCTTGTGGGTATCATCAGTGTGTCAAAACATGTATATGGAGCAAGTACGTTTAGTCTTTTTATGCATAAAAATATAGAAGACAAAGTCATTGAAATAATACGGATAATCAAATTCCGGAGGCATAAGTAGTTAGCACAGCAAAATACCAGATATTATCAGTATTCAAAGTTTAGCCGATGCGCATCGTGTAAAATTTTCTCTACAAAAGTCAGTGTATCAGGTTGTTAACCTTCAAGAACCAATCAGATTTATAGGACGCTGTGAAAGGCCATTCTATGTCGAATCATGTCTGTTTATGAACTCGATGAACTAGTTCTTTAAAGACGGAGTAAATCCATACTGTTAGGTAGGTTTTGGTAAGGCGTTAGGGTTACGAGTAGGTTTAAGAATGAAGTAATGAGAATAGCTGGATCTCAAGGTACCAAGGTCTACCGTCTTTTGGATGAGTTCGTATATCGCTTATGGTGTGATTTCTCTGTGAGCCATCCCTTGAGTTTCTGGGAAACTTCTTACAAGACATAAGGGATAATTATCCAGTGTTATATCATGCTTACGATGTTTTCCATACGTCTTCAACGACCAAATTAACATGTATGTATATTCTCATCCGTTTGAACATGAGGAAGGCCAGCTTATAGGCATCATCACTATGATAAATAATATGTACATGGAGTAAGTATATTTACAATCATTCAAATACACAGGATTACCAGTAAGGTCACTTTGCAAAAGTAGGAGCCACTCAAACGATATAACTGTGGAGACCGTGTTTGTTTAAATTTATCGGAAGTTCGCATTTTAATTGGAGGCTGTGTTGCGCGTAGCGGATACTGTAGGCTATTTGTAAGAGCATAAAACGGCTT